TGTGTACATTTACTCATGTACTTCTGTTTTGGTACTAATCTGAGGTTCTGAAATGTTATTTTTTATTACTTGTTCTTCTTCGTTTGTTATTTTAAAAAGTAAACTTGATAAACCAAGGCATATTGTATATTTAAAATCACATTGAAAAATAAATAAATGAGAAAAATAATAATACTTGTTGTGTAAATATATAAATGTTTGTATGTTGTACTTTTGTGGGATGTCTTTTGCTGCAAAAACGAAATGCCAGTAAAAACATTTGTCAAAAAATTTATAATATGCGATTCTTCCACCAAAAAGACGATATTCAGCTATTTTCTTTCCATGCATTACTGTAATTCCCCCACAATGCATTGCAGCCAGACTCAGTTCCTTGACCTAGTTTCCTCTTTTCCAATTGATCAAATGTTCTTCACGCGTCATCACTAGGTGTCTGAGGCACTTGTGGAATGATAGCATGGTAAAATAACCCTAGACCCCCCCCCCCCCCCCACAAGCGTCTATAAGTGTTCATGGAAACAGTGAAGCGAGTTCAAACCCATGTGTTTCTGTGGAGCGTTTCAGGAAATGAGGAGGAGGAGGAGGAGGAAGGGTGCTTCAGAGAACATTATGAAACAGTAACCCCCACCAATGGAAATAATGCAATGTATGCTATGTGGTGGGGGGGGGGGGGGGGGGGGGGGGGGGGGGGGGGGGGGGGGATGATCCTTAAGTTAAAGTAGAAATACTACACTCTAAAAGTATTGAATTCAAAATGTTACCTAAGTAGAAATACAGAACTTTGTACTCAACGTATCAAAAGTAATGCAGATTGGGTTCTATTATAGTATTATACCGTTACAACATATTATATTATCCTGCCCTAACAAATACATGTAAGAGCATTTCAAATGTGGAGCTTGTCAATATGGAGTACATTTGAGATACTTGCAGTGGCGGTTCTAGACCAATTTGACTGAGGGGGCCACTGGGGGGCCAGTTATTTTCTGAGGGGGGCACATGCAGGACGAAAAAGAGAACTAGACAGTATGAAGTAATTGCGCATAAGAAAACAATGCAATCCAGTTATTGGTATTTGTTTCAGTACACTTATTTATTTCAGATAGATCTTATAGTTATTACTGTTAGCTTCAGCTTAAGTTATAGTGCAATGTTTGCACTAACACCATATTTATATAAAAATAAAGGCAATGAACAGTTACATCTCTACTTTACATAAGGGTGTCTGCACAATCTCACATTACAGCAACAAAATCCTGCGGTTTTTGGCAAACCGAGTACCAGAGAATACACATTTAAAAAAATAAAAATAAACTTTTCATTGTTAGGGGGGCCACAGGGGGGTCAGAGGTCAGTGTTAGGGGGGCACTGGCCCCCCTGGCCCCCCTAGAACCGCCCCTGGATACTTGCTATATCATATTTCATTGCATCATCAGCATATTATGTGTTTAAATGTTTAATCGATTAAGTGAATCTAAAAGCACTGAAGTGAAGTAGAAATATGAAGTCCATTTAAATGGAAACACTCAATATAGTACAATTATGTCAAAATAGTACTTAAGTATAGTACTAGGGTACATGTCTTTTTTTGTATATTTTTCTGCATTGGGTACTTTTACGTTTCGTACATTTTGGTGATTATACTAAGTATTTTCAGAGTGTGGGATTAGCATATGAGTGAAGGATTGTAATTCTTCCTCCGCCTCCTTTCCTAATCCCGGGTGGGGTCGGTGCAGGGGCTGACTTTAAACTGCAGGAAAAAGAGGGAGAAGGGGGGGTTTAGGAAAGCCGGCAGCATGCCAGCGAGGCGGAGTTATCCAACCTCGATCCTTGTTTCCATGAAACAGGCCGTATCAACCTCTTGAAAAGGCAAAAGAGAAAAGTCAGGGTGACTCAGTCCATGTGCTCGGGTCACATGGTCTCTCTCGGCCCGCTAAACGCTGTAATTCTCCTCAGCGCTGGCTCCAGACCGCAGAACAGAAACAAAGCTCATATTTGATCTGCTTATATGTGCCAGGAAACCCTGAGAAAGTCAAGAGGACAGCGTGGAAACCGCTCCATGGCCTCCGACTGTAACCCCCCCCCACATTTCTTTCAGGAGACGTTTCATCCGATCTGAATTACTCAACAACAGTTTAAACAAGTCAGACCAGTGACGCAATAAGCTTTTAAAAGTATTGAAACAAGTCGTTTTCCTTCATTAAGTTGACCAACTGGTTGTTATAGTCTTAGGGTCATTTATTTATATTTATTTCCTAGAAAAGTATGAGCACATCTCGGGTAAACAAGATTTCAAACTGGGTCATTACATGAAACTCAGATCTAGTCTGTTGATTAAATCTGCTCAGTGTTAGTCGACTGAGCTGAGCTGATAAGTCATTTTTCATGCTTTTTTTTAATACAAGAAACACAAGGGCACTTTTGGGGTTAAACAACAGATATAAAGTGGGGCTTTTTGCATGAAATTCAGTTTTGGTCTGTCGATTAAATCCAGTGATATACAGTTGAGGTTTTGCTCATGCTTATTTCCAAGAAAGGTATAGCACATCTTAGGTAAGCAACAGATTTACAATGTGGCCTTTGCATCAAACTCAGTTTTTTTCTACCAAGAACATCGTACAGTGTTAGAGGACTAAGATTAACTTGGTAGATAAGTAATTTAAAAATGTTTTTCATGCTTATTTCCAAGAAACGTATGCGCATTTTTGGCTAAACAGCATTTAAAGTAGGGCTTTTTGCGTGAAACTCAGTCTGATTCTGTCCATTAAATACACATGTATACCAAACAAGAACATCGTGTAAGTGTGAGTAGATTAAGAAGCTGTTAAACCCAGCTTGGCCCAAGAAGAAAAATGTATATTTGTTTATTTTTTTCTGAAGTTTTTAGAAGAGTAATGAGATTTATTTAGGTCGAGCTGGGATTTCATCTTCTCTCTCTGCATGCCTGTCTCGGTTCTTTGTTGTGGCGCGGCGAGGATTCATTTAGGTGGGGTTTGGATTCTGCCTTTCTAGTCAGCGGCGGTCCACCCCCCCCCCCCCCCCCCCCGCACAGGACTAATGTGACCTACATTTCTCTGGCATAGAGACCTCTGTTTGTGCGCCAACCAATGTGCAGCGGCCACTCCGCAGCAGAGCAGGGCTGCAGCCACAGACTGGGTTTCCGCCTATTGCATAATCTGCCCCTTACTTTGATCCATTTCCATTATTGCATTCCCTCATTAAGCACCCAGCATAGCATCTTAAGTGTTCCCTACACGGTGTACAGCAACACATGGGCCATTTACAATGCGTAAAGTACAGTCACGCTCCACTCCATTGAGCCACTTTCTGAGAAGTGAGAACAAGGCTTGTAACCACTGCTTTATGTTAGCCTATAGAACATGAGGTGCCTTAATGCTGGAGAAAAAAATCTGCAAGACATGGAGGGGGGTATCCGTGCCCACGTGTAGTGAACCACAAAGCCGCTGGAAAAAATATCAAATAGGAGTTTTCTCATCATAAAACATCCCATAAAACACACTATAATGTTTGGTCTTTGTCACCTTTGTGCGTTCAAGTTAGGACAGAATGTTACATCACTACAGTGAGGCAGTGCTGTACTGCAGGAGCCTCAGGACGCATTCAAGTTCATTAAAATGCGATGATGAATGGTTCATTATCGCCTACAAAATACCCCACTTCTCATTCACATAGCAACACACTGTGAGGAATATGTTACCCCGCATGCCTTCTTTGTTGCTCTGTCTGACAAATCGTCTTCTTCATGCATATTTAATCGGATTCCCAGTCATCCGAGGCGACATACGTGGATCCATGTGGGGTCTGAAATCCACCCAAAATACGCGCGTCTCAACAAATAACCTTCTTATTTATAATGTGCCATGTTAAAACAAACATAAACCTCTATATTAGCTGTTGAGTAAGCTGCTCGGTAACACATCTGACCCACATCTGATCCAGATGTTCGGATCCACACCTCACCTGGCAGAGCTTCACCATTCCTCATCCTTTTCTATTTCTGGATCTCTCCGAACCGGCGTTGTACAGAAAGCCAAACTAAAAACATCCACATGTGTCCAAGAGGATCATCAATGTGCTCCGGACCGTGTTGTGCTCCTTCACACTGCTACAGCCCAATAAAGGGTTAACCCGGAGCGTTAACCTTTACAAAGAGCTGCTACACGTGACGGATAGAAGTGTGTCCGCGCGCGGTGCCTGCATGGGATTTTAGTGCATGGTCTAGCCGAGTAACCCAAAATGAAAAAAGCATGGTCCGAATAAATCACATTAACTGCTGCTTCATATAAACCTGACACTGAACGTTACATATGTGGGATATTCTGTTTATGTTGTTATAATAATGGGTAATATTTGCTGTAAAACAATACACGTGAAAACAGGTGTTTAAACCAAATCTCGGATAAACAGACTAAATAGTTGAAGCAAGAATTTACGAACATTTTTACAACCGAAAGAAAATACTTAAAAATCTGTTTCTCAAAGTCCACGGTGGCGTCTTTAAATGTGTAAGTTAAAAGCCGGAAAACTCCACGTTCAGGAGGCTAACATCAGCATGTTTCTGCCTTTTGTTGCCCTAAAGATTACCGATTAATCGACTACGCAAACAGTTTTCGATTATTTTTTGCAGCTCCCGTAAAACCACTACAACACGCCGGGAATATAAGAGTTGGGTATGCAGCAGTACACAACAGCGCGGATGTGTTGACCCTTCCTCATTACAAGCGTGGCACCGCTCCAAAAAATATCCACATTCGTCACCAAACCCACTTTTTCTGAAGGAATCCCAAAACCTTTCACTAAACCCCACCCAACCCACTCACACACACCCTCATAGTGGGGTCTCGCTTTGACATAGAGAAAATGCACCCAAAACAAACACTCGTGGCGCAAGTGCGACTAAGAATTCCTCAAAGAACCACTAATATACAACATTATGTTTTAATATAACAACTACTTCATGAATCATAGCACGCACTTACCGTTTTTGGTCTGAAAAAGGACGCAATCCACGTGGTTTTCTGTCCAACAATCCGCTTTTACGCACCGGTCCTCGGTCCGTCACTTTCCAAACAGCAGCTCTCCGTTTACTGCAGGTATAACACAGTGCCGCTTGTTTTCAGTGCGCTGCTCATGTCATGTATCTCTCTCTCTCTCTCTCTCTCTCTCTCTCTCTCCTCTCTCTCTCTCTCTCTCTCTTCTCTCTCTCTCCTCTCTCTCTCTCTCTCTCTCTCTCTCTCGCTCTCCTCTCGTCTCTCTCTCTCTATCCCTCTCGTCTTCTCTTCTCCTCCTCTCTCTCCTCCTCTCGTCCCTCTCTCTCTCCGTCTCTCTCTCTCGCACTCTCGTCTCTCGTCTCTC